CTGTAAATAATTGACAGATAATATTAATTGGCTTTGGATTAGTGAGCAAGCAGAGAATCACACATTAATATTTGATCAGAAGATGATAGCAACCCTGGCAGGGGATCCAAGGAGGGCAGCTGAGGCTGCTATGTTGATAAGAGCAGGGAAGGACTTTTCAAGGCTCTCCCTTTACCCTCCTCCAGAAAGACAAAAACTCTATATAAAACATACACAAAACACATGAAACCAAATATGTCTGTGTGTACACACACATACATATATGCACACACACGTATACGGAAACATGTATATTTATATATAAATGATTACATAAGAGATGTCCTGATGCTACACTGAACTTTAGGCTGTTACCTTGTGCAGTATCTTTCTGGCTGCAATTTGCCAACTAGGCTCGTCACCACAGAATGGTTACCAAATGCACTTAGATTTTGGTTTTAATCAGGTAAGTAGTTCTGCCAGCTACAGACACTGCCTCGATTAACCCCCATAGATAGTCTTCAGTGATATCAGATTACAAATCATTCAAAATTACTTTGTATCAATGTTAATGTATGCTCCCAAGAAAACAAAAGTATTTATCTGGAATTTGAGAGAGTTAATAAACATAGCCCTGGAACCTCTGTCATCGTGAAAACAAATGTTAAATGCTGCAGATTAGCAGGTGTTCAAGATTGACGCAATGTCTGTATTCCTTTGTCTGTCAGAATAAATAATATGGTAGTATTCCCTGAGAAGTTATCTTAAATTTAATTCAAAATCTTCCTAAAACAACAGAATATGATGATTGAAATTATTTATATGACAACCTGTTTAAAACAGAACTCTTCAAAGCCATTCAAAGAAATATGGCGAAAAGGCCAGATTTCTTTCTAGAAATAATTTTTTTAATTACCAAAACCAAACCATACAACAGTCACACAAGAGTTCAGATTAAAGTGTAATGCACGGAACAATCAACTGGTATCCTATGCAGTTTCTACCCTGCGGCTGCATGATGCTTGGCTCACGGGCTGCACCGTTTCCACAAATTGTGATCGTTACGGAGGGAGTGACACTGCATGCACAGCCTCTGCTGCTGAATTACCGCTGCACCGCAGCGTAGCTCAGGCTTGAGTGGAAGAGTCATTTTCATGACACATGCACCATCCACTGTTATTTCAGAATGGTCCCACCCTAGATTTCTCATTGGCAAAATTTACTTTAGTAATAAATTAGTTGATTGGTGATTCAATTGCTAGCAGATACAAACTTTTTATTAAGGTGTATTCTTTCTACATTAGAAATAGAGCAAGACTGTACTTCTGTTTATTACTACTGTAATAAACTTCCTAGCTTAACTTTTTCCAGACAAGCAAATGCTTAGTTTTAACATTTCATCATTACACAAGTACAGTTACATACACAATGCATCGAAATTTACATATGGATATGAGCAAGACCTTCTATGTTAACATGACAAAGCAGAAATAGAAAGCAAGGGATCACCTTTTATAGCCTTAGTTTGAAAATTCTTAAATCTAATTGCAGGTAAGTGTGATAAGCTAAGTGTCCAAACATGTAAATAAAAGCGATCAGCTGAACTCGCCTGAACAGTCCTTTATGCACAATTAACAGGACAATACAGTTTCATATTTCACCAAAGCAAGCACAGTATCATGGTAAAATGAAACTACGAAATATCTATTATGATGCATATTCTTAAATATTTTAAAAATTAATTATTTGAGGCTTAACTTTCAGGACTTCACAGAAAAAAAACAAACATATAAATTAAAGAAATCTGTAAACCCAAGTGCATAATACTGCTTAAGAAATCTGTAACTGTGCTTGGAATGTGACACTGACATTCCCCCTCCCCAGTCCTATCGACCCATTGCTCTCAAACTTAATATAAATACATATACACATACTGACACACACAACATTTTAGCATTTACCATTTTTTTAAGGAAATGAGGAATTAAATTGGGACATAAATCCACAGTGTCTTTGCTCTAAACACATTCCTCCATAGATCACAGTCCACATTCTCCATTCTTTAAAAATACAACAAAACAGATTAGTCATACAAAGTAATTGTGTGTGTGTGTGTGTGTGTGTGTGTGTAAGGATGTCTTCTCCCTGGGTTTTTAGCATCTTGAAAGCCTTTCTGTGTCTCAGGACCTCACCGGCACGAAGGCAGGCCTATAGGAACCTATTTCACAGTATTTCCGTAAACCCTGAAAGCTGCTGGCCAGATCAGTGTCCAGCAGACAGGGGTGTGTTGGGCACCACTTTGCAGGATACTGAGATCCGCTCACAAGCGCTGGTAGCTGAAAGTTATCATAGGCAAATAAGTACATGCTGGTGCTTTTTTGTCTCAGAAGCTGCCTTACAAACCTTTCTCATTAAAATTAAACAAAATACAACTTCAATAATAACTTAAAAATCACAGCCAAGGATTTTTTTGTTAGGCTCTTTTGGTTTTAATTTTAGCATTGTCTACATACATCAATTTTCATTCAGAGTTTTTATTTAAATATGTTCATTTTTACAGGAAGTCATGAATCTTTTTTCCTGCCTCTCAAAAATGTATGTGCCATCAAGAAATAAGAGTGAGCAGTGGCCACAAAAAATACAGCATAAAATACACAGAAAAAATGTTCCTTGTTCCATACATGTCCTTAACACAGGAAAGTCAAAATAAATCAACGTACAACAAACCGAAAGATTTCCAACATCCTCGTCCTTTGCAAGGACCACTACATCTTGTACATCAGTTGACTAGACTATACACTGAACGGGATTTGGCAAAACCTTCAATGCTGACTCATTCGCAGCCATTGTCTACGATGGAGAATGCAGTACATAATTAAAATGCAGTTATGGTGATTACTAATACAAAGTAACAAACAATAACGTCCCCACCATCACCGCTACATCAGAATCTATACCTCCATTTCTTTAATATCAATCGCCATTAATGGAGAATATTCAATTTTCAAAGTTACTGAAATGTCCTCAGTTATTTCAGAAATTATGCATTTCTGAATAGTTGTTCTTTAGGGGTAAATAACTCACTAGTGAAAAACTAGACCATAGGTTATTAAGATCTTTACAATGCACCAACAATCAGATCACCTTTATAATTAGCTTAAGACTTGCTTCTGAAATAAAACTTTGTCACGTGCCCTTGCCATGGAAAGAATTGCAATATATCGTTGCTGCAAGAGCCGCAACCCTTCGATCCTCGCCGTCCACCCCTACGGCTTCCTCTCGTCGCCCAGAGCGGCGATCCAGCCGTCTCCAGCATCGCTGGGTCAGGCTATGTGTAAATGCAGGACTCCGAAGAAGGCAGCGAGGATGGAGTGTCTTTTGCTGCTGTGGTGTGCATACCGCAAGAGGCAAGGATCCCACATTTGAAGAACCCGTCCTATCGGTCATGCAGCCTAGTTGCGCATTAACCGTGAGTAACTATTGAGAATACCTATTTCTCATTTTGTGTCTTCAGTGAGCCTGGTAACAACAGAAAACTGAAGATGGCCCGAACCCCCCCAAAACCACAGGTAACAGATCTTACTGAAATGGGTCTTTTAAGTAATTCAGTAACACAAAAGAGGGAGCTTCAAAACTGTTCCACATTGTAGCTTATTGACTGTAATAAAAATTTTACTTTGCTATTACGTAGTCTTTTCTGTATCTCTTAAATAGTACCATTCCACTTTTACCCGCCCATTGATCTGTATCCTAAAGGATAAATTACTTCTACCTCTCTAAAATTGGACAGTAAAATATACACACTGCAAGGCTCAGTAAGACAACAGGAAGAAATCTGCTGGATGCTCGCTGTGCTGCGCAGACTTCAAGGGACTCAAGTAGTTACGGTTGTTTTCAAGACGAAGCAACTGAGAACGTCTGAATCTGAGCTTTGGCCAGTTGATATCCTCACGTAGATAGCACTATTTCACTTACCAGATTAAACACTGCCATACTGACATTTAGAAAAAGATGCAACTGTGATTGGAGTCCCCACCTGAGTCAGTTCCTAAGGTTCAAGATGAATGTGTTCTGAAAGCAGTCAGTCTACAATTATACTTTCACCCAGAAGATGGATCTCTCAGTGCTATGACACATTCATAAGCTAAATTATCTTGAATATAAATAAACACTTCCTATGTCAATCAAAGGTATACATCAGAAGAAATTTAATTTCATCCACAATGCAAGATATGCATGGAATTAACTTAATTTCTCATCCACCAATTTCAATGGAAATAACAGCAGTATTTACTTAGCTGGAGGAGCAAAGCAGCTTGTGGAGTTGCACTGGGTGCCACGTGCCTGTTAAGACAGTGGGATATATAGTTTGGATACAGTCTGCTTTTGATGACACATCTCATAACAGCATCAGAATGGCTAATCCACATAACCTGGAATCCCACAGTTAAGAAAACCATCTTTAAATTATGCCTGGCTCCCACACACTTGCACGTCCTCATGTTTTTGTAAGTACTTGATATTTAACATTGCATCAGCTCCATCACTTCAGCTTTTAAATGGTCCAGGGAATATTTACTAAACATTCAGTATCTTTATTTGGAAAACACTACACAATGGAAAAAGAAACTATATCACATCTTGTTACAGCTTTCATCACTTTATCCATTCTTCATTGTTAATCTAATGTTCATTTGAAACGTGTTTTCAACTACACTTACCTACACATATATACACAATAAAATTATATTTAAATTTTATGTGGTCATTACATGAAGTTCCAGGAAGCTGAAGCACCCTCACTAAACCAAAAGGATCTATGTAAATACATACATTTAAATAATTTGCCTTCAAGACACCTGGACTCCATGAAATATAAACATCTACAAAACAAACATTACTATTACTCAGTATGGCCAGGCTCTCCATTGAAAGGATAAGCACAGGGAACCTAATAATCACAATGGACACAATATCCAAATTATCCCGAACAGGCGAAAAGGGTCATACAAACAGAGGAA